GCTGAAATGGTCCCAAGGGTTGAGGTGCCCTAGTGAGATTTTGTTTTGCCAGCGCTCTCCTAGTTTGTATCTATGCATTCTGCCTGCACTGATGATTCTGTGCCCCTTGTAGGGGAGTCCATTCCTATCAGACTCTTCCTGGCTGGCTACGAGCTGACTCCAACGATGAGGGACATCAATAAGAAGTTCTCGGTGCGATATTACCTCAACCTGGTGCTGATTGATGAGGAAGAGAGGCGCTACTTCAAACAGCAGGTAAGAAACGGAGCAGTTAGGTCTCGTGGAGCCTGCAGACTGTCACTTGAGGTTACTGTGTTTTCAGGATCTTTAGGAAGCTGGGATTCCCATGGCGGCGGGAATCGCATCCTTGAGCTGAGTATCCATCAGGACTAGACCACGTGAGATGTGCAAAGAGGGCCTAGAAGAGACCGTCCACACAGTTCAGATGTGCGTGGTTGTGTGGGGATGCATGTACGAAGGTGCCTACATGGTGGCACTTGGCCACTTTGTTGCCCTTACTGGAGTTCCTGTGCTTCACCTTATCAATTCCAGTGTGGTGGTGCGCAGCAGTAGGACAGGCCTAACATCCAGTGGGCTGCCCCTGTGTACTCCTGGAGACGAGAGCTGTACCCAAATTTTCAGGAAGGCTGCATTGAGAGGCCTCTCCTCACCACTCTGGGTGGCCTTAACGTGTGTGGCTGAGGGTGCAACATGCCAGCATGGGTTGAGTTCTCTCTGGGTGCAAGCACGGGGTGCAAGTTGCTGACCTTGCAGCTTGGTTCAGCGTTTTGGTTTGAGTGGCGCCGGGTGGGGCCGGGAAGAGCTCTCTGCAAGCCCTGACAAGCCCTGCTGGCTGTGTTACTGCAGGAGGTGGTGCTTTGGCGGAAAGGAGACATAGTGAGGAAGAGCATGTCCCACCAAGCAGCCATCGCCTCCCAGCGGTTTGAGGGGACATCCTCGCACACCGAGGCCAAGACCCCCAGCCAGCCTGCAGAGAACAACAGCCGGCAGTGAGAGGCCACGCAGAGGAAGGAAGGCTGCTGTGGAGCCAGTGGGGGCAGCAGCGAGGAGGAAGAGAAAATACTTCAGAGACTTCATGAAAATAAATATCCGTTTTTGACTTAATTCCTTTCTTCAAAGGACCAGTAGGGTGGGGATGGGATAGAAGGGAAAGGCAAGCTGGAGCACTGGTACTGTGGAGTTGAAGGTACCTCAGTGCTTCCCAATAAACTACATTCCTCTGGGGTGGGCTGCTTTGACATGTGTTGCAGAGCTAGCTGCCTGATCTCCTCCTTGCCCCGAGACCCTTTCAGCATGGCAGCAGGGAGGGAGAGAGCAAGTGAAGGCCAAATCCACTGCTCCTTCTCAGCAGTGTGGACGTTGCTTTGGGGGTGTGTAGGACAGGTCATATTTTTCTTGCCTTCTGGAAATAGTCATGAGGGAAAACGACACTATTTTAGCTGGAAGGTAGGGGAGGAAGTCAGACTGAGGTGCGGCCTACTTGAAATAGCTTCATGTTGTCTCCTCTCTCCCTCCCCTTCCTGCTGTTGTTGGATTCTTTGTCACAGTTACATGACGTAGTTGAGTCAGCCCTGGGACTGCCACA